CCTAGGTAGGGTTAAGGTTCCCGGTGCTAGAGTTTCAAACTCTACAGTCTAGTCTTACGAAGCTTGAACTTACAGTACAAAACTTGTGCGTTACGGCAAAAGGCAGTTTGCACAAACGAAATAATTGGCCTGCTGCCTGTCGTGTGTTTTGACCAGGTGGTCTTGTGGTTAATGTACAATTCCTGGCACCAACCAATGTTTTACCCCCAGGAAAGGCGCTTTAGACATATTAGAGTCTCCCTTGACTCGGGTGAAAATGAGCTTCGGTTAGAGATGTGAAGCCTGAGTTCCACACCACCACACATTGAAAAGGGCACGGGTCCTTCACGGTGCTACCTTAACAAAACTTTACAGTACGGTCAGACCGTCTTACAAAGCTTCAACTTACAGTACAAAACTTGTGCGCCACGCCTGGAGGCACAAACACGATTGGTCTGCTGGCCGTCGCGCGTTTTTCCGGCGACGTTTGGCGCTCAGACTGACGAGGCGGTAACTGCGCGGGGGAGGCTCGTGATTTGTCTCATACTCAGACATACAAACATCGGTTTTGTATTTATACATTTTTAACCTTTGGAAATCAGACAAACAACACAGACGTTAGGCGAGGGAGATGTCAGCAGAAAACTTTATGATTAGTCTGGTTCTCGACAAAACTAACAGTACTTTTTCAGACATAACTTAAGTTTTTAATTTCTAGCTGACGTTGAAACGGTGAAACTCATCGGATGTTTGGCCAATCATTTCACTTAGGAATATTGACACTTGACTTTACGTTTTTCTACTTATGGCTAAAAAAGCAAACAAGAAAAAGAGAATACCAGCGGAGTTGGGCAGCAATAGTCCCATGCGGTTATATACAGACAAACTGAACCCTCCGTGACCGGCCATCTCACCTGGCCAACTACATTCTTTTTAGGTAGATTTCTACTGTTTATTCAGCATGCAAATGAGTCTGGTGGAGACTAAAAGCCTCCTTGCGTAGGGGTAAAATGTTTTAGAGCTACTATCGTCTAATAAGCCGGATTTATTCGATCGTCTGTTAATGACGTCATCATCAAGTTGACTACAGATGTGTTCCCATGGTAACGCGTGACGTTGTCTTCCCCCATATATGGTCATGCCAGCCCTGGAAAAAGACTTCCGGACAATTTCGATCACCCTGGGTCTGATGTACCTGGTCAGCCTGGCCCTGGTCATCTACATCACAGGTGAGTCATCTACATCACAGGTGAGTCAACCTGGCCCTGGTCATCTACATCACAGGTGAGTCATCTACATCACAGGTGAGTCAACCTGGCCCTGGTCATCTACATCACAGGTGAGTCAACCTGGCCCTGGTCATCTACATCACAGGTGAATCAACCTGGCCCTGGTCATCTACATCACAGGTGAGTCATCTACATCACAGGTGAGTCATCTACATCACAGATGATTCATCTACATCACAGGTGCGGCTTTTCAAGGTTTTCGCTGCCTGTTGCATCAGAAGTTTGCCGGTTACAAAATGAGCCTGATGATGTGTAGGTTTTAATGTCCTGTTATTGTAATATGTTGCATTTTTGTAAAAGGGCGTTATTCGGAAAATTTCAGGCCCGCAGGTTCCAATTCCTTTCTTGATAAAACTCTAATTTTGAGTAAAACTGTACTCTGTACAGTTGTTGTTTCTTATTCTCCGCTCTCTTCCCTCGTATTGTGATCTCGTGTTCTTTTCTTCTTTTCTAATGTGCGTTTACTCCTCCCTCTGTGCTCTTCTCTTGTTGCTGTTTACAATTTCGTCGGCTACTTCTGATCAGTGGTGGCTTCTCCTTTTCTTTTCTGACCGAGCAGCAGGCTACCAACCCAGCAGCCAGCCCGCCCGACAGCCGAGCCGGGCAGAGGAAATTCTGACCGTCCCGAAGGAGGTTTTGCCGCTTCTTAAGTTCCTTGCAGGAGAGTTGGGTGGGACCGGGGAGACCTGGCAGCGACCCGGGAAGACCTGGGAGCGACCCGGGGGCGTGTCCGGGGAGACCTGGCAGCTACCAGGGGGCGGGCAGACCAACGCTTCCCGCGACCCGCCAACTACCCCGAACAGCCTGAAGGGTACGTTATAACTAGCCTCTACCAGGCTTCGGGAGGCGGCTGGAAACGGTAGAAATTGGCTAAATAGAGAGATATAGCGAGGGAGTTGATCCGCTAGAGAGTACAGTTTGTCGCACCCGACTGTACTCTAGAGGACCAACTCCCCGGAATGCTATCTCTCTTTTTGGCCAATTTCTACTACTCTTTCCAGCCGCCTCCCGAAGCCTGGTAGAGTCTAAGTACAACTATCAGTCCGAAGACAATGCCTCAAGATACGTTTTCGTATCTTATACAGAACAGTGTCTATCTAGTTCTATGCCTGAATGGGTTATGATGAGGCACGGTTCTGGATAGTGTTCACGTATCCTCGGACGTAGATTTGCCCAAGTCCTGGAAACGTGTAAAATATCCTGAACCGTGCATTATCATAATTATAGATAAAGCTAATCATTGAGGAAAATCAACTTTATACAAAGTATCCATGCGCACTGTGGGCAGTGATCTACCTGTACAGTCAAGAACATCAGTTCTCTATATACTGATAACCTGCTGCCGAATCCTAGTCATGGTTATTACCCTGTCGTCTTATGGTATCTATCTTAATTGATATAAGCATTTTTCACATTTTAGATACTGGATTCGTGACTGCCAGGTTCACCACCCTCGGCGCGACCGGCCGTGCAGGCCCGACCAGCCTGGGTGCCCACTACCGCGGACAGGACCACGAGAAGCTGGTGACCTTACAGGACGGGATCCAGCTCTTCACCGTGCCTGAGACGGGAGACTACAGGATTGAAGTTGCAGGTTAGACTAACATTATTGTTCAAATCTATTGGTATGGATACTAAACTTTTCAAATGCACGAGGAAAAGTGTATTCAACACGGTAGGCAAAAATCTGACGAAACACTGGCGGACAAACAGACACACGGAAAGCAATATCTCTTCCCGGAGGCAATGACATAACTTACCGGCTTCTCATTCTCCACATGTCCAGGTGCCGCAGGAGGCTGGGATTCCGTCAACGATAACAAGGATAACCGGGGCTATGGTGCCATGATGATGGGAACCTTCAAACTACACAAAGGTTGGTTAAACGTTCCCTTATATATATATATATATATATATATATATA